ATGTGTAAAGAAACCAGTATTTGGAGGTAACCGTGTTTCGTTTCGACACAACTACACAACTGTTCTTACCACTTTAATTTCAAGGAGACCAACACACCGAGGCAACAAATACTTCGAAACAAACTATTTTTTCAGTGAAACGTGCTCATTGTGCATATCTGAAAGTGAAAAATAGTACTGAAGCAAGCTCCTTACACCTTGCATGCAGGGCTGCATTGGTGGCAAATTTTCTGGAAATTAAAGGATCCAACAAAATTGCCAATCTTAATAAATAGAAAAAGGTCGAAAGAAAGACCTCTCTTTCGGGATYRATCCCGTCCCTAGATGTAGTAGTCAATCAGCAGGACATTCAAAAATGTTATGTACCTTCGAGGGGTAGAAGTAGAACATAACCTTATTGTAGTGTCAGCATTGGTTGAATTTAACCGAGAATGGAATATTCAATGTTTCCAATTTAGAAGAGATTGGGGAACCGAACCAATGTCAATAGAGCCGAATTTATCAGCTTGGTTCTAATTACTCGGAAAATAATCATAAAACAATCTAGCAGAAGCCTTAGACTTGAAGAAGAGAGATAGGGAGAAGGGATCGAGTACCTGAAATCGAGAGAGGAAGAAGATCGAGAGAGATTGAAGGATTACAACTTTTCTTTTCAACTTTTGTACGTTCCACGCGTATTCTATTTTCCATCTCTACAAAATATTTTTTATCAGTTAAAAGTTAGAGRTAGATAAACAGACCACAAAAAAATAACGTTTACAAAACTAAAGATTTCAATTTGTTCTTTCTTTCACACACCTGAGTTCTGGMATCAAGTTATCAACTTCAGAGCCACCAGATAGCTTGAGATTTTGGGTGATTCCAAAGCCTTGAAAAACTTACATAAAATTTGTTAGTTGTGCTTAAAACAAGTAACAAATTGGGAAAATTGGTTAAAAGAAAGCCTTATAGCTTCTTCTAACCCTTGACTTTTTTAATGAGGTTCACAAAGAAACCCAACCATTGGAATCAGAATCCTATAGATATTCAAGTGAAACAACCAAAATTAATTTTAAAAAACAGAGACCATGACTAAACATAAAATGATATGAAACCAAAATTAAATAGTAATTAGAAGACATCAACTACTCTAACAAATTCCATCCATAATGTTCACAAATGAGAGTTTATCTATCAAAGACAATAAATCTACTCTAGAACACAAATAAGAATTTAAAATCATCAGTTCTAAAATAATGTATACAAAAAAAAATCAAAAACGAAAACAAAAGTAAAAGTAAAAGAGAGAGAAAGAGGACCTTGTATACCATGCCAAGAATATAGCAAACTTCTATGTTGTCGATGTCAAGACACTGTTTGAGGAACCAATGTGTYGGTTTCCAACCACAATCCTATCCACAACGTTTACGAATAAGAGGTTATCTATCAAAAACAATAAATAAGAATGCAAAATCATTAGTGCCAAACTAAACAAACTTAACAAAATATATAAAAACTAAAATAAAAGAGAGAGAGGTCCTTGTTTACCATGCCAAAAATATACCAAACCTCTATCTTGTAGTTGTCAAGACACCTATTTGAGGAATCAATGAAAAGGTTTTCCAACAAAAATTTCACCCACAAAGTTCACGAATAAGAGTTTATCTATCGAAGGCAAGAGTTTATCTATCGAAGGTAATAGATCTAGTCTAAACCACAAATAAGAATTCAAAATCATTGGTGTCAAACTAAACAAACTTAACAAAATTTATAAAAACTAAAATAAAAGAGAGAGAGGTCCTTGTTTACCATGCCAACAATATAGCAAACCACTATCTTGCCGTTGTCAAGACACTATTTGAGGAATCAATGAGTAGGTTTTCCAACAAAAAATTCATCCACATCGTTCACGAATAAGAGTTTATCTATCGAAGGCAATAAATCTAGTGTAAACCACACATAAGAATTCAAAATCGTTAGTGCAAAACTAAGCAAATTTAAAATATATATATAAAAACAAAAAATAAAAGAGAGAGAGAAAGAAGTTCTTGTCACCAAGCCAAGAATATAGCAAACCTCTATATATTGTAAGTATAGGTATCAAGACACTGTGTTTGAGGAACCAATGGGTAGGTTCGAACCAAATTTTATCCCGGCCAATTGTCTATTGGCAATGTTCTTTGACAACCTTTGGAAAATACAAACTAATAACACCGGATCTGTCAATACCAATGCGCATAAATAATCAATCCACGTTATATTGTCAAAAAGGTTGCAGAAACGCCATGGCAAGTAACATTTGCCCTTTTCTGAGTTCTGCCAGTAGAAGATGTCAAAGGAGCAAAAACAAAAAGCTAGCAAACGTTTGTTCATAGTTGTCTAGCTTCATTGATTGTAGGCAACAAGTAACAATAAAATTATGTAATACCAACTGTTATACCAAGGTAACTGTTTTACAATCAATATATTGAGCCAATCGTAATATCGATGGCATTATAATGAGGCAAAAAAAAGTTTCAAATCAAACATTATATCAAAGTATTGCACATTTACTCGAGGCACAAATATTTCGCAGCAACCCAATCGTTATACCAAATGCAACTAATTTATCGCACCAACCCTTATATAAAGCAACAAACATTGAAGGCAATTATTATATTGAGGCAACTAACATTTCTAAGCTGATAACCGTTATAATAAGAAGCAATATTACGAAGCAACAATTCTATCACAGCAACCAAAACTTTGAGGTGACCAATCCCTTGAAACAACCAAAATATATCAAGGTCGTGAGTATAAAGCAACAGTTCTCTGCACTTTTTTTTTTTTTTAACAGAAACAGTATCTTGCAACTCTTCCATTGAATTTTATGCAATTAAACGGAAGAAGATATTAGAACCTCATTTCAGTTTTTTTATTACTTTTTGTCCTAATCCAAGCTCAACCCTGTTTAGTCGTAATTTATAAGCAACCAGCATATCTACGCAACAAGATACTCGATCAATATGTTAGGATAACACTTGAAGACAATCAATATTATGGAACCATTCTAGCAAGAAAACAAATATTTTGAGGTGACTAATAGTTTAGGATAGCTATCATATTGCAACAACAAATATTTTGAGGCATAAGATACTTTTGAGGAAACCATTACTCAAGACCAACAGTCATATTGAGGCAATTCATATTCTAGAGTAACTATTATTTGAAGGCAATTAATATTTCTAGACAACCATCATTTCGTGACAACGGCTACTTTAATGGCAACCTATATTTAACGACTGCCGCTATTTAAAGACAACTGTCACTTCAAGGAAACTAATATTTTGAGGCCACTATATTATTGCGAGGCAAAAAAATATTCCAAGTCAACCAACATAGTGAGAAAAAAAATATTTTAAAGAAACTGTAATTCTAAGGCAACGAAAGTTTAATAAGAGACATATTTCTATCATTCCTATATTTCGAGACAACCATCATATCAAGYCGATAATTATTTCAGGATAATCATATTCAAGAAACCATATTTCAACATGTATTTTAAGACAACTCCTTTAGTGAGCCAATCAATATTTCAAAAAAATCATCATATCAAGGACAACATTTATTTCGGGACAACCATCATTTTGAGCCAACCAACATCATGACAACCCTCATGTGGGAAATACCACAATCAATATATATAAGCCACTGTTATTTTGAAGCCACCAATATTTTAAGACAATCATCTTACCAAAGTAACCAATATTTCACGACAATCATTATATTGAAGCAACTATTATTTTGGTACAAGAATCACCATTTTGAGACATTTTAAGCAATTGACATGTATAAGGCAATAAATATTTAGGGGAAACCAACCAATTAAGGCAACCGATATTTAGGGACAATCAACATATCTAATTAACCATTTGTTCTACGGAACAACCAACTTATCAAGACAACAATTGGCCTTTTTTATAGAAGAAACTAATATTCAGGGACAATCGACATATTGAAACAACAATTATTTTGATGGCAACAAACATATCAAGACAATCAATATTTAGGACAACGAACATATTAAGACAACCATTGATCCTTTATTTTGGGCAACCAATATTAAGAGACAACCGACATATGAGGCAACTATTGATTACTTTATTTCGAGGCAATAAATATTTAGGTACAACCAACATAATAAGAGAACCAATGTTTCCTTTATTTAAGGCAACAAATATTAAGTGACAACCAACATATATAGAGACAACATTGGTTTCTTTAATTCGAGACAAACAATATTAAGCGACAACCGACATATCGGGGGAATCGATGGTTCCTTTATTTCAAGGTAATCAATATAAAGGGACAACCGACATATCAAGGGAACCAATGATCCCTTAATTTTGAAGCAATTAATATCAAGGGACAACCAAAATATTGAGGGAACCAATATTAAGGAACAACCGACATATTGAGGGATCCAATGGTTCCTTTATTTCAAGGTAATCAATATTAAGGGACAACAGACATATCAAGGGAACCAATGGTCCCTTAATTTCGAAGCAACCAATATTAA